GAGACAGAGAGAGATGAGAAAGGGAGATAGAATGAGAGAGAGAACGCACCTTTTCCTTCCTTGATTTACAACTGTTGTTGGAAACAATGGCCCCGGCGACTTGGCTGATGATCTCAAACCGGAATACGACGACGCATGTCGCGAAGCGCGAAAAGGGAGGTGCTGACGCGTGAGAGGGCAAAACCGCGAATGGAGACGTGGGCGATTGCGACGCGAAGGAGATGGCGAGGCGAGGGATATAGCGACGAGGGAGAGGGAGAGAAGTGAGGTAGACGGCGGGGGAGATGGCGACGAGATGGCTGTGTCGCTGGGAAGGGCGGGCGGTCCGGACGCGCGACAGGCATTTTTGGCCGTGAGGGTTGGCGACACCTGCGATTGCCTGCTGCTTCGGACGATTGCATTGCCCACCTGCAAATTCGCAGAATGGCGCCACCGTCATTCGAATGGCGGATACATCCGCACGGGGCCCAAGAAACGAAAGTGGGCGGGAAAAGTCACGCGGGATGACGCATTGGAACCGTCGATATCACGGTAAAATCCCCGCGGGCCCCGATAATCAAAAGTGGGCGGAAAAGTTTGCGCCAGATGATGCGTTGGAACCGTCGATAGCACGGTGAAAAAAGGCCAGTCCTCTCGAAATCACGGCCCGCCATCCCGGGACGGTTTCGGATCGGGCGATTTCGTAAGGACGGTCCGTCAAAAAAGGGACTGCCTGATGTCACAGCCCCCGACGCGGCAGTCCGCCATTACTGACCTTGCGGCGGGCAGCTGAAGGGTCCCTTAAGCCCCACTCACTCCACTCACCGTTCTCCTGACGGGCACCGAACGAATGGGGGTGGTTGTCACACCCATTCGCTGGTGTCATTTCTTCCGTGTGCTGCCTTTGCGACGCGTCCGCCATCGCTTGAAGTCGCCGGCATCATATCGCAGGCCCCTTGCGCATCCAGACCCTCGTTCTTCCAGCAATCGTCGACAGCGGGGGGCGCTAACGAAAACGTCACGCGGCTGTAGACCTTGCGCGTCGCCCCGTTCGCGCTGTGCTCTTCTTGTGTCGGCTGGAGGCATTTGTCGACTCGCAGGTCAGTAAGAAGCCCACGCCCCTTCACCATTTCAAGCCCCCACCTCTTCCCATTGCCCTTCCGCTCCTTCGACCGTGCAAGTCTTGTTCTCTGCCACCACCTGCTTCGCCAATCACGCGCACACGATCTTGAGCGCACGACGCCCACCGATCACATCCATGGAAGACCCCATGTAGTGACACACGCTGATGTCATCATCCTGCACATGACGTCAGGGACGGGCAATGGCTCGCGGCTTTCATAGTTATCGCCCTCGAGTCTTGGCGTCCTCAACATCGCTTGTTGGCGTCCTCAACATCGCCCTCGATTCTTGGCGCCCTTCGACGACCGCATCTGACGCGTGGAGAAAGTCGCATCGCCCACGATTCTTGGCGTCCTCAACATCGCTTGTTAGTACACTTTCTTGGACCCTGGCTCGCGGGTCGTCTTCCGCCTAGTCTACTCAGGATATTGCAATGCAGTCGGTCGTCCGAGTCTTCTTCTACATCACCGCCTGCTCCGTCAATCACGCACGAGTCGACATGCGCGCGATCTTGAGTCCACGATGTCCGCAGCTCACAACCACGAAAGTTCCCTTCCACTGACACACGCTGACGTCACCATCTTGAGCATGACGTCTGAAATTCGAAATGGCTTGCGGCTTTCGCAGTCAAGATCGTCGGACGCCTCCGACGACTGCATCTTACGCGTGGACGAAGTTTCATCGCTGTTGCTCCCTGGCGTCCTCAACATCACGATATGTGATCACCGCTGCGATAACACAGCATCCGATAGACGTCAACACCGGAGACGTCATCTGAAAAAACGCGTGTCGATCGACTTTCAGATCCCGTCCATCCATCTCCGGTGTTGACGTCTATCGGATGATGTGTTATCGCAGCGCTGATCATATCATCCCATGTCCCCGATAGCAGGAAGCCTCACGACAAATGCGCACCTCCAACAGGAATCGCACGTGTCGCACGCACAGCCAACAGTGGCAAAGCCACCCATCCACAACGTTCAGCGACGACCCGTTGCGCATAACGGATACCCATGGCGAATCCGAAACATCCCAGATTACCGCCGATCCCGCGACATCCCACCGCCAAGGGCCAACTTCGAGCTCATTTCCGATCGACTCGGTGATTGAACATGTCCATCGCGGTTGTGGATGACATCAGGATCTTTTTCTTGTTGTCTTGAACGTTCCCTGTCTCATGGACCGTTCTCGCACACGCAACTAGCAATGAGGAACCGCCACGCAACCGGGCGCGAGACGCCGAATACACATCGGCAACATTTTGGATATGGAACTAGCGCTTACAAGTTCCATCACGCCCACAAGAAAACGTCACAGCACCGCCGCCCGTGCGGCAGCCCGTCCCCTCGCCACGATTCGTTTTGGGCGAACTCTGACATGGACAATCCTCGCTACGATTATAGTCTCGAAATCTGAGCTGAATGAACGCACCAATGACCTCGTGGAACGATCAGCTCTCGATCCACGCCGATCACATTTCGATTCCAATTAATCGCAGCCGCGTGTTCCATAGCAGCTTAGGGAGGCGTGCGCGGGATTGCAGCGGGAGTGAGAGAGTGATGTTCGTGCCACTTGTTCCGGATGGAGTTCGGATTTATCCGAGCTCGAGATGAAGGCAATAGTAGATGTCATTTGCGATGCCAGTGGTTGGATGACTATGCCCCCCTTACATCCGACCCATTGTTTTCACGCAACGTTCCCCCATCGAGAGTTTTGAGGCGACCCCTGTCCATGACAACCCGCCACTCATGACTTTTGTCGGTGTTCTTTGTCTCCCACGAGGGGTTATGCAATTCTCAGGTTGGACGTTTTTGTTCCGCCTCACTACGGAACGTGTGATGTAGTTAGGATGAATCCGAACCACAACCCTCGGCTCGTGGGAAGTCTCAACGGGAACCGCATCCCTCCGTTGTCTCAGTGGAAGGGACAACGACGCCACAGGGGATCGCTTTCGAAGTAAACATCTCCACAAATCATGACTCCGATAGCTCCCCATCTGCTTTTGCCTTCGTTTGCAGCTCAGATGAATCCGAACCACAACCACAGACGACTGACGGACAACAGTCGTGGCTTTTGTCATTGTTTATTTCTTCCGCATTGGGTASTGCAACACTCACACAGGACTTATCAATTCCGCGTCACTCCTAAACGTGTGATGTAGCTCGGACCAATCCGAACCACACCCCTCATCGCATCGGGAGTCCCGAGGTGAGTATCACGCCTTGTGACGGAATGTCTCATCGGGAAAGGAAAACGGCGGCACACGCCACGCGTCCTAAATGCAACATATAATATCCGTAGGTGGACACTCATGGCATTTGTTGTTGATTTTTCCTTTCGAGCGGCGAAATGAGAACATGTCGCAGGACGTCTAGGTACCGCTTGACTGAAACCTTTTGTTGTGGTCCGGATTAATCCGAACCTCATAGCTCGACGGCAATACAGTCTGATTTGTCTGCCACATCGCGCAGGCGGGTCTCATGAATTGGGGATGGCACTCTTGGCTTTTGTCTGAGTTGTTTTCTTGCACATGGGGCAGTAATGCAAACATCGCAAAGGACGTGTTGCTTCCTACTGGCTCCGCCTTCGATTCCAAGGGTGTCTCATCCTTCTGCCACATTCCACAGAATGAGGCGAGGACGCTGGGCGGTGGCTCGGATTAATCCGAGCCACGGATGGTCGCACGACATCCCATTTAATGTCTATCTTTTCGGGGCGGTTTCTCGGATTGATCCGAACCACGGATTGGTAGGCTTGGATGAGCTTCTGTCTAGGACTTCTGTTGCGGGTGGCTCGGATTGATCCGGACCTCGGATCCGGGGCGGAGCGGTAGGCTTGGATGAGCTTCTGTCTTGCACTTCTGTTCAGCTCATATTGAGAATGACCGGGTCGGTGTGCTGTTCCGTTCCTCCCCCAGAAATACACAAACGGATGTTTTGCACACGACGGCGAGGGTCGTCCGACTGTTCTGTCCGTCTCCATGTGCTTTACGGCGTTGGTTTTGATAATTTTAGGAAATTATGCATCTGCTCTAGAACGGGTCCCTGTATGACTTTTAGAAAACACTACATTGGCTTGGTGAACTTCTGATTGATGACCTTCTGTAAGGGCTTTGCCACGCGATGTGGAAAGATCTTTTTTTTGGACGATTTCCGATTGAAGGCCTTCTGTAAGGGCTTTGCCGATAAAAAAGTGTTGGGCGTTACAACTGGGTGTGGGCCTCGTCGGGGAAACTCTCGTTCACCGACATTGTTTACGACGGTCTCCTCATCCGTATGTCTTTCCATGTGTTCGTGTTGTGTAGGGAGTTTAATGTCGTCGAGTCCTTCGACAAACATCGCCATGACACCCGAGAAGCACATGCGCTTAGCGAAACCCTTTCCACCTTGTGCGAAATCGTTGCGGCATTATGACGGTCAGACGTGGATCGACGATGCAACCGAGGACGACTTCGAGGACGACCCATGGACGACCGTCGTCCCTTACATGAACCGGCATCTCGATGAATGGAATGAAAATGACTGGAAGACGATGGAGCGTTCCTGCCCATGGGCAAGCCATTACAAGTTTGCCAACATGTTGGAGTTCGGGAGCCTCATTGCACTGCTTGATGGTGTCCTCCATCGAAAGACCCTGGACGATAAGGGTAAACCGGTTCGCTTCTGTACCAGCTTCAGACGTCGCCTCCATTGCGAGTACATCACATCTTCGCCACGAACTTGGGGAAGTTCGCAGAAGCAAGAGTTGGTGGACTGCGCTCGTCGTTGTTCATTCTGGGAACACTACCCACCCCGTTGCCCAGGGACTTCTCCACAAGCTCTGTCGTACTGTTGTGTGCGGTTGTCCTTTCGCCAGAGTGCTATGTGTGGCTTCTTCAAGCAAAAGTAGAAAACTTGTGGATGCAGTTGTGCTTGTGTCACGCAACGAGATGGTGCTTCAGGGTTCCAAGTTCAAGGCGGTCATGTCTCGCCCAGATGAAGATGGGCGGTCAGACTTGGTGAGAGCAGGTCAGGTAAGAGTTTTTCTCTCATTGTGGGATGATGTAGAAAAGAAAGAATCTGAAATACGTGACTGTATAGGGAATTCCTTAGCACGACGAGGAGGGTTTGTCAGGATGAAATACATGTCTGTGTTTTCGGAGAACGCAACAGTCGACGAGCCGCAGATTCATGTGTATGGATCATCTATGAATGCTATGTATGGCTTCCATTCACGACCTCGTCCGCGGGAAAGCCCGTATGTCACAAGATACGAGCGTGTGGTCAGACCTTGTGTTTAAGGGAAAAGGAGACTCCCTCATGACGACTAAAGTTGATATTGGCGTTGTGGCATTTGAACTAGCACTGCAGACTTGCGAAGGTGACGTTCTATAAGTGTTTCGGATTCATCCGAATCATCAATCAGATACATGCGAGTGCACCCAACGTTGAACGCGATGCATGAAGGTTTCCCTAAGGACGATCCTTGGCCGAACAACAACCCGTCAGATTCGGTATGTGCGACTCGCTAACAGCACACCGTCGAGTTTACTTTCTTGCACTCCTTCGAGGCAAGCGAGGCTTCCAAACAGTCCACCGTCCTCTAGATCGTCTGGCACTGCCATGTTTCGTAATTGTCCACGATGGTTTTCAGATAGGACGCCATGAAATGTGGTGCTCACGTCCGTGGCCCTCTGTGCAACAGCCGCTGCATGGCAGAAAGTGACGTGAGCGACGCCGACCAAGGCTGCAATCATGCATGTCCAGCATGACATCTTGTGTCTCGGATTCATCTGAAGTCACCGGCTGCACAAGCATTTTCATTCTCATCCCCGAAAAAGTCGTCTGTTTCCCTAGACACCTGCTGAAAGAAACTCCTCTTTCCGTCAATACGCTGCATACGGGCCGATGATCAGCGCCCGCGCAGAATACATAGCACGTCCCGATTGCAAAATCGTCGGGTCATTTCCTCGCGACGGCGAAGGCTGGTGATCACCCCCGGCGACGGCGACGATGGTTTTCGGATTGGATGCCATGAAATGTGGTGCCATGTCCATAGCCCTCTGTGCAACAACCGCTGCCAGACCGAAAGTGACGTGAGCGACGCTG